TCTTTTTATGCATCAGTAACTGCTACAGTTTCTATTATTGTTTCTTTGATGGCCACTCCTGTCCTGTGATGGTTCTTCTTCACAGCAAGCCTGCGTGTTACAAAACTGCAATCCAAGTGTTAAGTTTTTAATATAAGCCTGTCTACTCAATGCCAATAAAATGCTTCAAGCACCTGTAATTAAACAGCCTGGAGACAGATCTACTAGCTAGTACATTAAAAACATCTCACAGAAGAAAAAAGGGGACAATTGTTCCACGTTAAGTCTTTACTGCCAGAAAAATGAAGTTATTTCCTTCTCCAACAGCCACCAGGGAACCAGCAGTAATTGGGGACTCAAGAGGAGAGAAAGTCTGCCAGTGATATTTGGGTTTGGTTGATCTGAAGCGGTGGATTGGAGGGAATTTTTTGTTTCTCTAAGATGCTGCAACTCTTAAACAAAAGTTTTCATGCTATTTGGAGCCTCTACCTGGGATACCTTACCTTTAGTATTTTGTCTATCTGTGTCAGTAGGTGTGATCAGCGTATGTAATCATCTGCATTATTAGAAATCTATCAGCAGCAAATTGCTTTTCAAGCATTTCAAAATCGGAATGTAAGGATGTGGAACAGCAATTATTAAAACAAGATGTTAATATGAGAAGAGCCAATTTATTTTTATAAAAAATAATGTAATTTAATCCAAGAATTATCTGGAGTCTGTTTAATAGGCAACACTCACTTGAGCGTGCAGGGGATGGTGAGCTACACCAAACACGCTGTCTGTGCTAAGAAGGAGCACGAAAAGGACAGGCAGAGATGCTGCCTGGTGCCCTCCCAATGTTTCTAAGGAGGATGAGCTATGTGGGCAGCAGAGGAGAAAGGCAACCAGCACTGGCTCAGAGCAAGCCCTGCCTTACAGATAGGAGAGCAGGTCTTGCGTGTCCACATCAGGGAGGTACAGGTCTACCCTGCTCCCGCAACCCAGTTCCCAGAAGATGATCAGTGTCAAGGACCATGGGCTCCAGCTTCTGTTGCTAGCAGAAGCAAACACTCAATCTGATGGAAATTCGAATCCATAATTATTTTCTAAAACTCTCAGCCTGATTGCAAGTTGGTTAAAGTCTATAGATGAACTTCACGGTAGCTTTAAAGAACAAGGAAGTCAACATACAGCTGGTAAAAGCAGTGGCAAGTGACAGCAGACTGTCACTTCAAAAGGCTGGAGCAACACTCTTCCCTTTCAAGAGCTGTACTGGGGCATTTTCACTGTTGCTTTCTAAACACCTACATCTTGTATGATCAGAAAGACTCCTATGGTTAAGCTCTCTTCTCAGACATGTTTAATGCAAAATGCTGTTACAAAACAGCTTTTGCAGGCTCCCAAAGCAAGTACTTCTTGGAAACAGAATTCAGAAGCCAGAGTTATAAGCAAGGATCCAGGTTTTCAAGTAGAGATAAACAAAATCTTTTGCTAATTTACCATTGGCAAGCTCTGTGTTTAGCAAGAAGGCAAAGAAAACTTCCCCCAGCGCTCTGCTAAGCAAATGGAAGCACAGGCAACTATTCCAAGAATTTCACAGCAGTACTTTTCCATTTCCATTATGAAAGACATCTTAAGCATTTTTTTTTTTTAAAAAAAAAAACATTTAACTCTAGTGATGGAGGACTTTTTTTCCTTCATCTTAACCCACCAAAGACCGGCCTGTTTGCCCCACCACCTAGCAAGGCACGAAGCTGCAGGACTGCAAGTAACTCCTGCGAGATGCTGGACAAAATTGTTTCACTTCGATACACAGACTTTCAGCAATGCATGTCCTCAAAAAAAAAAAAAAAGAATTCAGACAGGCTTCTAAGTCCAGACTTCATGAAGAAAAACACGAGTGACCCACTAATGCCACCGTATTTCTCCTCTGTAAACCCAGAGTAACACAAGTCACCCAGCTGGCTACTATGGAGCATGCACAGCTCTACCTAACAGTTCCTTCTGCACCATCAAAAGGGATTTCTAAATACCACATCAGGTCTTCAACTTCGCATTAACTTCTGTGTTAATTGGCTAGGGACTCACAAAGAGGAAGCATGATGTTACTCTTGAGGAAGAGCTGATTTCCAGTAACACAGTCACACTAAGCAAATATAACTACTTGCTTTTGTAGAGACTTCTCAAATGAAAAATTTTCCGCATCTTCTTTTTCCTCAAAGAATTAAATTTCAAACCTGAGAACATCTGGACCCCTAGGTGACATTGGCAATGACTGACTTCTTGACTGTACTGACAAAACTTCCAGGTTTTCCCTAACCAGAAGTGTTGCATGTTCCTTACTCTTGCTGCTGGCTCAAAAAGGCTAGTTATGGCAAGGGACCGAGTAACTGCTCTATTTGAGATACAGCTTTTATAATTAACTCTACAGATTGATTTCTGCAGAAATCATTCTTTAACCAGGACTCCCTTACTCCCAGAATAGCTGCTACTCAGCTAAGCTGTTTAAGAGGCTACAGGGGACTCAAATGCCTTAAATTTCAGTTTCATCCTTTCAACCACAGCAATACCTTGAATTAAATTTCATACATCATATTTCTGTGTGATATTGATATATTCACTTGATTTTCAGATACTATTGTAATTACTGATTGACTTGACTCATTCCGAATCCAGCATCTTCCTGGAAAAATACCATCTA